TGCTGCCTGACGTTTTCAGTGGAGCAATGAGCTGCCTCATTAAGTCTGTCTGCCATCCTGACAAGTATGTAGATGTTACACAAGTCATTACTTGCGTTATCTGTGCAATGCGTACAAGACGAAATTCTGGTTGCTGAAGTCAGTGGAATGTCTACCATCAATCCAGCTGAATGATGACTTCATGAGCCATTTTCTGTCTTGTATGTGTAAAAAAGGGTAAGATTTTGCTTTTTACAGTGTGACACTTGACCCTCAAATAATCAGTGGAAAGATACTGCTGTTACTCAAGGTCGGTTTAATTGACTACGAAAGGAAATAATTCATAGAGCCATAGAACATCCTGAGCAGGAAGGGATCCATAAGGATCAGCTCTGCAGTTCACAAACAAAATCTCCACACAGCAATGAAGCAAAAAGCAAAAGCTGATGGAAGGAAGAGGATATACCCATGGGCTGTCTGCAGGCATGTGGGCTTCCCAGAGGAAATTGGCTGTCTTAGAGCTGGCTAAGACCGTGATAGAGGAGAAACAAACTCTTCCATGTGTCAGTGTTCTTGTTATTAAAGTTCTGAGAAGCTTGTACACTGTTGATCAAAGAAGGAAGATGAGACAATAGGGGAAAAATAGTGCAGTGAAAACACGACACTGAGATGCCAAAATTTGATAGAGAAAGTTGGCAGCTGCATCTTTCAGTCCAAAGGAAATGTATCAGTTCTCAAATGCATCTTCAGGTTAGATTTTCAGTTAGTTTTCTTGGTGTTCTTCAGCCTTAAACACTGGTTTCCTACGAAATGAGTGACTGAAGTGTTTTAGTTAGGTCATCAAATAATCTCTTATCCCACATTTATATAGGATACAACCTCAAAAAATTCTGCTGATCCCAACTAGCTATTTCATAATCTCAGTAGAGCAGCATGCAGAAAAAAACTTTTTTCCTTTATGAACACTCCAGTAAAGACAAACCTTCTGTCTGTGTGTCACAGAACTTTTGAACCAGAGGTCAGGCCTAAACATTGGCGATCTCATCAGCTTCATGCTTTTCTGTCCATTGCCAAATATAGACAAAAATGTAATACAAACTACCAAATGCAGAGTGATAAATTAACCTCTTATCTAGAGAAGTTTCATATTGTTGCAATATTCCTCCTGTTTAGCACAATATCATTACAAATCATATCTCAGTCAAGGTAGCCTGGTATGCATGTGGTATGTAGGCCACTAATCCATTAGCTGTAGTTTTAAAAAATAGCAAGAGATTTGTGTAACCCTTCTAGAACAAGTTATTTGTGGATAAATTTCATTATTTGATTGAGATAAGGCCTCTGGGATCCCTCAAAGATAAGGTCCTCGTTCAGTACACACTTCATGTTTTCATCCCTGTGAATTTACAACCTAAATAGAGGAAAGGGGTGAGAGCTTCGGTGAACTGGTGACTCCGTGGTCATAGAGAAGCCAGGTCTCCTGGTCATCGGCCCAATGCCCATCTGCCAGGCCATAGCTTCACAGAGCCACCTCTGCTTTTTAATATTTGAAAGCATAGTAAATATTGTGTGGTTTTATGTGATTGACAATGCAACAAATGTCAAAGGAGTACTGATTTTCCAAGTCAAGACCAAACACTGTCAGAGGTCGCTGGTGATAGTTGTTATTTGTTAGTAGCGCTTATTGCTCATTCATAGTGTAGTCTGTCATTGAAATATTACAAACAAAACATGCAGGCCCCACCGCTAGGAGCTCACAGGCAAGCTGTGCAAAGCATTCATCCCTTCTACCATGGTAAAATATGCACAGCAAACTCCTTCTGATTTGTATAAAATGAAGCTATTTGTTGGATCCATCATGCTCACTTAGCTATGCAAGATAAATAAATCCAGAAACACTCAATAAATATCCTCAACTGCAGGGATTAGCAGCAGGGGAATCAGTTATGTAAAGTATGTGGGCCTTTGGAGTTAGACATATGCATCGAGACTCAAGGCAGTCATCAAAAGAAAACTTCAGCTTTCCCTGAACTTTAGAGTGCTTTTTCACTAGACTGTAGATTTAAGCACTTTTTAACTGATGGATTTTTCTTATGAGTACAGGGCGTGTAGCTTTTTCTTAACCGCCCACCCCAAAATTTGTACAAGAATTACTTGGTAGGAAAAGGCCAAACAGTCAGAAAACTGTGAAACACGGAACTAGGAAGATTCATTCATTTTGGCTGATAATTATTGAAGCATGAGCTGGATCTACTGCTTGAAGGTAGCTTTTCCACACCGATAGGAATGTTATTGGTGCCACATGAAACCCTTAGGGAGCAAGGGTTGGGTGGAGAGAAGTGGGATGCCAGGTTTCAGAAGAAGTGGCTGACACCTGCCTCGCTCCAACTTATAGGAGGGAGATGAGGTTCTTTTAATATCTGTATAGCCAGCGTGAAATTAAGAAACAGTGGTTCAAACACTGGTTATAGGTCCCCTTTTTATCCTTCGTCCTGGCATTCCTGGGTGCTTGGGTAAGAGTCATGTGCAGCGCCTCCTGAGATGGCCATCTTCCTTGAGATAACTCCACACAAAACACCGCTTCACGGCCATTGAGCTGCGGCTTACCTCTCTCTCATTGCCCCTGGCCTTGTCTGTGTCCCTCAGACAAAGGATTTCTCAACCCTTGCCCAGGACTTGCTTGGACTGTTCGTCTGTGTCCCCAGCAAGCTTTGAGACAATGATGTAAAAGAAAAATCTCTTACAACACTATACAGAGGTGGAGGGCTTCCCTTCACACTGGGGCAATGTCATTGCCCCAATGACAAGATGCAGCAGATCTGGCCTTGTGTGCAGCATGGCAATGTCCAAATTACCCAGAGCCGGTACTGCTGCTGGGCCTTGAACGATTTGTGTGGCTGGGGCCACGTAGGGCTGCTTAGGACCAAGGAGGAGGCTGAGGGTGGGAAGGTGTGATCACTTGACAGCAGTAGTGGGAGTGGACCTGAAGCCTGCTGCCCTACATCTGTCCCATGTTTCCCTGGGTTTCCCTTCCTTTTTTTTCTCTATCCTTCCTAGTCTCCCAGGATGCCTCCCCATGTCTTCACAAACTTCCCAGGCTTTCAGCATTTGCACCTCCCAGCTCTTACGTTCCCTTCCTGGGGACCCACAGCGCCTTTCTTTCATAGCTGAGCCTGAGGCCATGTCCAATCCCTTAGCACCATCACCCTGCTCTGTCTGCTGATTCCAGGGCATCGTTCTCACCCAGGGCTTTTCCTTTGTACCCAACAAAGAAACTCCCATTTTCTAGAGCTGCACTGCAGTGAGATCTGCACCTTCTCCCCTCAGCATATCTCTCCTAATAGTGTCCCTGTACCCTCTTAGAAGGGCCCCTCAGCAGGGACCTTAGTACAGTCTCTAGAAGTGGTCTCTCACAGGGTTTTCTCATGAGTTCAACACCTCGGAAAACAACCATCTGCTTTATGTAATGTCTCTAATGACAACCCTTTCACTTAAGAAAGTGAATTCTTTTTGCTGTCAGCCTTTTAAAGCTTGGTCTAAGAAAAAATATCACCAGCAGAAACAGCTGAGTTGAAGCAAAGGGGCCTTCCTACAATGTGCAAAGTGCCGACGCTGTGTGCGGTGTCAGCTCCACCACTGAGCAAGCGAATGTCTGAGAGGAAGAGATGCTGTAAATCAAGCGTGCATGGCTCTGGCAAGTGCTTGCTGCAAGCACAGAGGAACAATCCACCTCAGCACCCAGCTCTCGCACGTGTGCTGAGGCACTTACCCAGCCACAATAACTGCTGCTGCGGGCTATCTTTTCCCTCTTCATTGTACAGGGATTAAGGCTTGGCTGCCTTGATGAGAAAGCTGTCCTGATTGCTTGCAGTTGCATTCCTGGTTAAAGTGGTTTTAAAGTGACAGCAAAGGCAATCGGAAAACTGTTCCCACTCCTTCCTTTGAAACAAACTTAATTGGAACATCTAATTAAATGCAACGCAGACTCAGCCCTGCTTGCTTTCACCAAGCCCCTTTGTGGTTGCAGTGCTCATCCTGCAAGAAGAAAGGGTAATTGGGGGAAACATGGGCTGTGAAAGCAGAGTGAACGGTGAGACTGGCTGCCTCTGCCTCTTACCTGCCTCTTACCTCAGGCAAGTCGCTTGGGCAGTTGGAATTCTGGTTTCCCTACTTTTAAAGGAAGAAGGAAGACAACTGTTTTCCTCCTACATCATGGTAGGAGGCAGAGGTCTCTAAGTTGTTCTGATAGCCTAATGAAGGCTTCAGAGAAGTAGCAGAGTACATCCGTTTCCCCATCTTTCCAAGCACAGAAAAGAATTCCCCTGCCTTAGCAGAGAGCAGGCAGCAACTGTGAAAGTGATGCACTGAAATACAGAAAACTGAGTGTAGTGCAGGAATTTGGTTACATGCCTGTTTGCAAATTAATGGCTAAATCAATTAAATAAAAGCATGGGATTTCTCTTGAGGAAAGTCTAGTCACAATTGCAAGGAGAAGGGGAGGGGTTGTGGAGTGGGGATGACATAATCACATTTGCGAATCACCAGCAGTGTGCATGCTTTAATCCATTAATGGGGTTTTTATCTGTGATCATAAAAAGCAGGTTACATTCAGCCTGGAAGGGAGTGAGGGTTGGAGGAGAGGGGAGGGGAGAGCAAGAGAGAGAGAAAGCGAGAGAGAAAGAGAGTGCTATTCGCTCAGTGAATTGCTTGCAAGCTTTGGGCTGATAATTAGGGATCTCAGGGGTGCAGTTTCTCAGAATAACCTGCTTGCCTTCGGATGGACCAAATGGAGACAGTGGTTCAGTCCTGCTGATATTTTTAAAGCCCTCCTCGCAGTTTGATGGGCATTCCCAGTGCTTTTGTGCACGTCTCGGAGAGCGTTGACGTGGAAAGGAGCAGCAAGGAGGGGGAGGTTGGAGGAAAAAAACGGCAGCTCTTCTAAAAATACGGAGGGCATGTGAGAGTGCGAGCAGGCTGGGAAGGAGGGCGAGGGGAGAGCAGCTCGCACCATGGTCCTCGGACACTCGGAGATGTCCCTCCTGTGACTGGGTGCACCATGAGCATCTGGGAGGTGATCCTGGCTTTTGTGATGGTGGTGCTGATGCTTGTGGCCCTGCTGGCCAACGTGCTGGTGCTGATGTGCTTCTTGTACAGCGCCGACATCCGCAAGCAGGTCCCAGGATTGTTCATCCTCAACCTCACCTTCTGCAACCTGTTGATGACCGTCTCCAGCATGCCCCTGACCTTGGCTGGGATCATTTACAAGAGGCAACCGGGAGGAGATCAGATCTGCCACGCTGTGGGCTTCCTGGAGACTTTCCTCACCACGAACTCCATGTTGAGCATGGCAGCGTTGAGCATTGACAGGTGGATTGCCGTGGTCTTCCCTCTAAGTTACCACTCCAAAATGAGGTACAGAGATGCTGCTCTCATCCTGAGCTACACGTGGTTACACTCCGTGTCATTCCCCATAGTGGCAGCGTCTCTCTCCTGGGTGGGTTTCCATCACCTCTATGCCTCCTGCACCCTGTACAACAAGAGACCAGAGGATAGGACACAGTTTGTGATTTTCACTGGGGTCTTTCACACCCTCAGCTTCCTCCTCTCCCTTATAGTCCTGTGTTTCACTTATCTCAAAGTGCTGAAGGTGGCACGGTTCCACTGTAAGCGGATTGACGTGATCACTATGCAGACCCTGGTACTGCTTGTGGACATCCATCCCAGGTAGGTGCCTGTGTGCTCAGCAAGAAAGAATATTGGCTGCAGAGGAAGTGAGGACGGGGCTTAGTGTTATGTTAAATGCAGTCTGAGCAGTGTCACAGCAGGGAGGGACTGGGAGGGGGAGAAAACAAGCATCCTTCCTGCTGGTATCTGTTCTACACGTTGCTTTGTACTTGTGTTTGTGTTTTTTTCCAGCTGCAAAAACAAGTCTTCTTTCTTAGGAGCTTGTTTTGGGAGGGAGAGCAAAGAAACAAGCAGTTTTGGCTGAGCATGCATTTCCCTTTGAAACAGTGATCAGACAACTGCTCTTTGTCTCAGAAAGTGGATTTAGTGATTGATAGAGTCACAGATTTTAGCACTGTCAGCCTGAAACAGTGATTCTCGCTGAGAGGGAGCCCATGTCCCTGTCTCAGAGCTGAGAGGGAAGGGGAGCTGGGGCACTCGCTGCTCCTCCAGCTGTGTCCATGTTGCTGTGCTCTCTGTAACTTTATCTTTCCCAAAGGCAGCATCGTAAGGGAATAACATCTGCTAAATAGGTATGCTTGAATGCCTGTACGTAAATCCCACTGAGATACCTCAGTAGCAATGTTAATATGACAAGTGAGGGATGTAGAAAGCTCATTGCTAATGAGAGTCCTTAAGCGAGAGAATTGTTAGGAGAAAAGTCTCCAGGGGCTGGGAGAAGAATGGCAAGCACCAAGCAGGCATGGATGTGTGTCAGGAAGCTGTGCAAGAGTCCTGTCAGAGATGATGTGCGGGCTATAAATCTTGCATAAATAGGACATGTCTGGGTCAGCAAGTGAAGCAGATTTGGCTGGGAAAGGGAGAGTGGAAGAGACCTTTTTCCTGATCATTAAGGGATGCAGAGCTGTACAGCTGAAGGAGAGAAAGGTTTGCTGGATGGAAGCCCTGGGACTTGGGGCCGGTGAGAAGACAGCAGCAGGACTTGCCAGAGCAGTCTGCCTGGGAAAAGGGGAAATTAGAAATCAATCCACAGAGCTAAGGCAGGATGCAGTGGGATGGAGTGGCTGATGGACCACAATACGCTCTGGGCTTGGAGGCTCCGATGAGTTGGGGTAGATAGGTTAAGGACCAGTTGGGACTGGGACAAGGTGGGAAAGACAGAGAGCGAGATGTGGGCAGGGGAAACGTGGGACATGGTTCAGTGAGCATGGTGGTGATGCATTCATGGTTGGACTTGGTGATCTTAGTGGTCTTTTCCAACCTTAATGAGCCTATAATTCTATGGTTCTACGAAAGCAGGGGTACTGGTTGTAGCGTGGGAGGAAATTGGCCCAGTTTGCTGAGAGTTTCGCTTAGAGGAGGAGTGTGACTGGAGCAGGTGATTGGGAAGGAAAGGCTCCAATGGACTCACCTGGAGAAAGGGGGAGAAGATAGTTTGGCTATGGGGGGTTGTGAAGGATGTGCATGATCACTGGAAGGCTGTCAGAAACTGAGTCTGTAAGTGCACACTGAAGGGAAGAGAAGTGTCTTTCAGCAAGGTGCTGGCAGCTGGGGAAGAAGAGAGGAAAGCCACGAGCAGATGAGGGGGGTTGTCCCATAGCAGCATCCCACCTTGCCATTCTCTGCAGGCTGGAGGCAAGCAGCAGCTCCTGTATTGCAGCCAACTGCAGGAGTGGAAGGAAGCACATGTGGCTGTCCTCAAAATGAGGTCAGAGCTTGGGGATTCCTTAGCCTGAGGCAAAGAAGTCTGAAAGGATCAGGGCAGGACAGTGCTGTGTCAGAGGAACAGAAACATTTGCTCAAAATTCTCAGTTAAGCTGTCTGATCCGTGTCTTGACCACAAATGTGGAGCAGAACTTTAGGTGACTCCTGTTCCTGCTTTTGAGAAACACATGTATAAATCTTCCTTTATCCACCAAGTCACAGAGTGGAAAAACAGCCTCCTATCCCATATGCTGTCTGGTTTTCTAAACTGTATCCCAGTCACTCTTAATTCCTGCTATGGGATGCTGTGGCCACTTGCAGTGCAGTGCTGTAGATGTGCTGGGGCTGTTAGAAGTAGCAATCCTTACACCTAATGCTTAAAGTATGGCTGGATTGTACAGAAAAGCTTAGAAAAAAAAGGGCAAAAATCACAATGGTATTCTCTTCCTCTGCATTTTTTCTTGTCTGAGTTAACTTGAAGGTATTCCTGCATTTCTTAATCGTCTCACAGAAGAGCAGGTTCATGGGGCTGTGGGTATCGCACCCCTTCTTTGGAGGAGATGGAGTTTTACAGGCACTTTGGTGCTCTGTTGCAGCTATTCAGCTCTTACATCAGGCCATTCTGTAGGAAAAGGGAGTTTTGATTTCTCTGGACTACAGCAACGATGGCTGATTCCAACCTACAGTGCTGCTGTCCTATCAGTGACAGCTGCAGCAGCTGTCAGATCTGAGGGCCAGGGCCAGATCTTAGACTCTACACAGAGGCTCTTCACAAAATGATTTGCATTGAGTTATATAAGTGGCACACGTACAGGAATGTTTAGTGTTTGTGATAGCATGCAACAGCAAAACACTGGGAGGCACTGGGAGGACGTACACAAGAGGCCAAAGTTTGCAGCTGTAGCTTAGATTTCCCCTGGCTTTTGTGTGGTCTGGTTTCAAAGCTGAGAAATGTGTACAGACAATTTTCTGCTCCTTGTGACTCAGAATCCACCCGCCAGGGGTTCTGGGACAGGCGTTATGACAGATGGCTTTATTACCTGTGACTTGGGAAGACACAAGTGATCTTCTGAAGATCATTTGAGATGAGTACGAAGGAAACCTCTAAATACCGCACAGAACCGTGTGAATGTTTAGGGCACGTGTCCTTTCAAGTTAGCCTTGGCATTTTTACTGGGTACTGCTTTCTGGTACTGCTCTCTCTTGACTTTGTTCCCTAGACTGAGCTATCTGAGTTATTGTGAGAGGCTTGGGCAAGGATTCTCTTAAGTGCTTAACTCATGTATTTCTCAACCGAAATTATCTATGCTATCTTTTTGTGTATCCACCTCTTAAAGATAGTGGATCTTAAGTTTCAGTATCTCATAAGCTTTGTTTAAAATACCAAAGCTTCAAAGGGATGTATCTCAGATTTTCCAGGATATTAAAATCTGTGAATGAAAGCTTAGTCAACAATCCAGTTCTGTTACCAATGTCATCCGTGGAACCCATGTTTATGTTCTTATCTAACTGCACGAAAGAGGGCACAAAAGTAAAATACCCATCTGAGCACATGATCTATCTGAAGGAACAAGATAAAATAGTTTCATTTGTGATGTGGTATTTACTAGCTACATCTGGAAATGCAGAACAAAAGAAATCAGCCGAAGCCTTCAGGACTTCCCATGTCACACGTGAGCTCCTGGGGTCAATAACAGCTTTGTATACCAATTAATGAGTGGAGAGAGATAACAGAGGGAACTATTGGACACAAAAATACCCCTCCCCACCCTAACAGCATCCTAATTGAAATGGCTTTGGAATTTTTTTTTCCTAAACTGATGTGTGCTTGGGATGTTATGAGTCTCAGCGCAGGTCTTAAGTGAAGCTGCTGAACCTCTTAGATCCTGTTTGCACCTAAAAGTACACCAAGTTCTTCAGCTCCTGCAGAACTGGAAGCATAGGTTCCCTCAAACAGGTGGATTTCTTTTTTTACTGCTCAGCTGTCATTTTGAGCTGCGTATAACTCAGATGTAGAACATGTAACACTGTTAGACACATTTGAGTTCTACTTAGGCATATTCTTTAAGAGCAAGGCAATTTGTTACTCCTTTTGTTCGCTTTTCCATCACGGCAGTTGCTCTAGGAACTGGATGTAAGAGAGTAAATAAAAAGGAAATAATGAAACAGGTTTTTTTTTAGCCCAATAAAAAAATGACATTAGGACTGTCTGACACAGATAGCCCCAAAGCACCTTGAGATCCTCAGGACACAACACGTGCTTAGATGTTGATCAGACATTTAGAGCAAACAGCACACAGGTGCGGTCATAAACCACACGGCTATTAACATATACAAGCGTGGAACCTGACAATGAGTCATCAATTACAAATTTACAATAACATCAGAGGGAGATGAGCTCCAAGCTGTTACAACTTGCTGTGCACGGGCCAGACCACCGGCTTCGCCCAAGACACGTGGTTACTTCGCCACAAGGCATGTGCAATGGGCCCACAGGCAGCAACACTGCTATGTGCCTAGAGAGGGATTTGGGCAGGCAGACTGGCTTTGGTTTCATCCTTTCCCAAAGGGAGTATGTTGGCAGATTCACCAGTTCAGGTGCAGATGGCTCTGGGATGTACAACCTGTACTTCCAATCCCACAGAAACACATGGAGAGCCACAGACACATCCCTGGGCTTCACCCAGCCAGCACAGAAGTTGCACAAGCAGGTAGAGGAGGATGGAAAAATCAGGACAGGACTAATTGGTGTCTGTTTGATTGGAAATAAGGCTGGTTTGAGCCTCAGAGTCAGAACACCTCAGCTTTTCAGATTTGTTGTCTAGGCTTTGCAAAGTGCTCAACACGTGCACAAGCTGTTGTGGGATTTACGGCTGCATTATTCACAGCTACTGGATATGATTGCCCCAGTGTTGGGCTGACTGGTAAGAGCATATTTTTTCCTGTTATGTTTTCATTGTGCTTTATTTCTTACCTCGCTGGGCTGTTTCTCCTATCGTGATATGATTGTTTGAATTGCCTTTCCTATGGAAGTAGGATGCTGCCTATCCCACTCTATTACTATTTTGTAAACCTTTGAATATCATTAGGAAAACTCAAATACAGCTTGCAGTGATTCAGAAAGGAGATGCCATTGGATTCAAGGCTGAATGCCACCAGCCTGTCCATAAATAAATCAATGTAATGGGGTGCATATGTGATATGAGTGTACATGCATGCATTTCTCAGTAATTGGTTTTGGAAGGTAAGGTCATGTAAAGCATTAATACTCACTCTTCTCCTGTGGAAATGCAATGCATTGGTTATCGAGTTGTGTGAAAGCAGCATGTACTGGAAGAATTGATTTATATTATTTCAGAAGTATAGCTGTTCAAGTCTGCTACCTGATATTATGATTCATGTTCTTGTTTGTGTTGAATGTTGCACAGTGTAAGAGAGCGTTGTCTAGAAGAGCAGAAGAGACGGAGGCAACGAGCAACAAAGAAAATAAGTACCTTCATTGGTACCTTTATACTTTGTTTTGCACCTTATGTTATCACAAGGTAAGCAGGAACTTATGTTCTGAAAAAATGGTCAGAAAATTAGGGCACTGAAACTGGTGCAAGCTCCCTATGAAAGTTCTGTATTACACTGCACCTATGAGAGATTCTACTTGCTGTGCCAACCACATTATGTAGAATGTCACAGCCAGGCCAACCTGTCTGTAGTCTGTGAGCCAAGTCAATGGATGGGTTGCATGGGCGGGACTAGGGAGTTCAATCCCCAGGTGCCAGGAGATGTTGTAGTTATTTTCGGAGACCAAGAATTTTGGAGACCTCAGAATACCCCAGTGGGGTAGGGGGTGAGCTAATCCATAGCATAGGACAGTAGTCTGAATAGGTCAGGATGCAGAGCTCAGATTTGAACAGCAGCTTTCTTGGACTGAATGCTTGGTCATAAACATCAAGTTAGTCTGGCTTATGGCTAAAGAAAATCTTGCAATTTATGTTCAGATGTTCCTATTTATCTAGCAGCTTATTTCTAAAAATGGCTCCTGTGGGAAACATAGAATTAGTCCTATGAAACAAAATTGTTGGAAAGCAAGTATTTCTGGATTAGTGTTATCAAGTTGTTGAAAGGAAATTTACAACTTGTGCTCATTATTAAAACTCAGGAAAAACTGAAATACTGCTATATGGAGCAGAGAAAGAAAAAGATATATACCCCTAAAGCATCACCTATTCCAGTATTACTGGGGAGAAATTACTGAGGCTGATGTCAGTCAAATTCAGAATTGCCAAAAAAGAACCCCACACTGAAAAACCAGAATTAAGACTCAGTGTAAGTGGGCAATAGAGAAACCCATTTTCCCATCACAGTACAATATCCTGAATTTCTGTTTCTAACAAAACAATTAACAAGCAGTCTTGTAGTCTCTTGTTAGAAAGAAAAAACTGCATGCCACATTAATTTTATGCTCATGATAGTAACAGCTAATTGATCCGTGCTAATAATTTGTGACAATGTTAGGAGTACATTTGTGAAATTTTGAATGAAATTTTTCTTCACCCTGACTTTACAGTGGCAAAGAGACCTTGCCCTGTGCTCTGAAAGGGTAAGAAAGGATTTAAAATTATGGGCACTTAGCCTTAACTGTCAGGCTGTAAGATATTAGAGTATGCCTTGCTTCAAGTGGCTAAATTTCATTTTATATCGGGTGTGTGAAGCTAATGAAAATCATCACAGGCACTGAATAGCTCTCAGCTCAGCCCAGATGACACCGAGCACTTGAGCCAGGGCTGTCAGAAGTATTTCTGTGCTCCTTGCAGCTCAGCCCAGAGTTCAGCCACCACCTTCCCGCTACCACTGAGCTCTGAGGCAGCCTGTGTGCCTCTAATCCTGAAATACAAAAAGGGGGGGGGTTAGGAAAAACCTACCTGCTTCAATCCTTACAAGGTTCACTAAACATTCACACAAGTCTTCAGCCCGTGAAGGACCATGGCTTTTCTGCAGGGGGTGACCAGAAGAACTAAGGCTTAGAGTCCTAACAGTACAGAGATGCTTTGCACCATGATATATGGAAGGATATTTGCATGTGACTGATGTCAAACCTACGAGGAGGAGGAAGCTTAGTTATGTAAGCAAGTATTCTTTTCTGGACTAAACCCAGAGTGTTTTGCACTTCACAAGATGGGGCAACCAGTCACTTTTCTAGGCAGTGAACAGAAGATAGCTGATAAAGCGTGTCATTCCCATGTGAACAGCAGGCTCGAAGTGGCACTCACTTCCATTAAACGTGCTCTAAACCAGCTGATGATTTGAGCAGGTACTGGATTACACTTATAACGTCTTTCAGCTTCCACACCAAAAGCCAGCAGTTGTCTGCAGCAGCCCACGAGCCAGGGAGGGAGCCATGCCTAGAGCTGCAGTTGGACAAATGCCTCTCTAGGTCAACCAGAGTCTTTTTCAGCTTACCTCAGGGTAAAGATCAGATTAGTCACCCCTTTTGTCAAGGAAATGCCCATTTAATTAGTTCAGTGGCTGACCTTAAGTAATACATCTTAATAATAACAATTCTGTTATTGATTCAGTGTCTTCACATACCAGATATATGCTGGATATTGCTAGGTATAGCTGGTTGCTTGATTTGGAAAAATGCTCTAGTAACACATCCCTTCTTTTGCTATATTTATTGTTATGTGATTGAAAACAGTGTTGAAAACCTGAATTCTCCAAGAAGCTTCTTCATGAGGAAAATCATAAGAAGTCATACTACTTTCTAATATTTGTGTCCAATTCCACACTTTTCAGACAAATCCAGAACTTTGCTCAAGTGATTTACTAAATGCTGTCAACTATGGGCCCTAAACTAAAAATTCTGAAGTAATATTAGAAAAAGGTGTGCAGTCCCAAGCCCTTGGTTAGGGAGAAGGATGGCAGAAGAGGCAGAAGGCTGAAATTCTCTCATATCATCTCCGGGGATTGGCCAAACAAAACGCATTTTTACATTGGTTGGCTGCCCTCTGCATACAAACGCTGCTTGGGCACAAAGACAGGCAAACTCACAAATGAGTTCTGATCTATGTTCTTGCTTGTCTGCTTATAAATGCACACTTTTCCTAAGTGTGCACTTATAGGTTGACATGTTTGAAGGCTTTCTAGGCCTCCTCGAAACTTCATATGACATAGGTGGGGGGTAGGAAGAGAGGTGACAGCCTTAAGCTGTGCCAGGGGAGGTTCAGGTTTTAGGGTAGTAGGAAAAAAGTATTTCCTCTCAGAAAAGAAGTGGGAACACTCATCATCTTGTTCAGCTTATTCATTATTACAAGAAAAAAGACCAAGGTAAAATTCTGATACTATGAGTCCTGTGTGAAATAAATAAAGAAAATCAGAGTTGGTAACAAGCAGAACTAAAATTAGGATTAGGATTATAAGCTTAAAGAGTCGATCCAAGTTCCTGAATTCCTGCTCAGTTTCACCCCTGAACAAGACATAATCACTTGTTTGAGGACCTCCAGCCTATTCAGAGTTTTCTCTAAAACTCTGTTAATTTCTGAAGGGGAGTCAGTGCACGGGAGAGATGCTCCCATTATACTGGCTGCCCATATGGACCTATATATGGCCTGTAAAATATTTTACTAACGTGATAATCTGCACATGGATGTAAAGCATTTTCCCTCTGTGTTATCTGCATAAGAGTTCGAGGCCTTACTCTTCAAGGTGACATCCTTGTTTACTTCTGAAAGTGCAATAAAATAATTGGATTTCCACTTGCCACCAAGTGCACTACAGAATTATGTTTCTAAGATATTAAAAAATTATCGTGGCAAAACAGTTTATAGTTTTGAAGTACAGGAATTGGGTATCAGACAAGAATAGAAGGTAGCTTTTGAAAGCAAGTTAGGGAATTATGTAGCCAATGCTGTAGAATTTAATTTAGATATAGCACTGAAATATTAATGCACCTTCACTGAAAACATCTTCCTGGCTGAAATGTTTCATGAAAATTGAAGCTATGCATATAATTTCCCTCATTAATGAGAAACAAAACCCTCTTTCAAAGGTAATAAGGTATATGACACGACTTGAAGACATTTAATTGTTTCTACATCAAATAGAATTGCGTATCTTGGGGCTTATCTGCAGTTGTTTGTTGCTGTGTATCTGCAAATGTCAAATATAATACACAAAAATGGCAAGATCTTTAAATGTCAAGGACACGAGGTAATAATTGAGGAAAATATCATAGATTCTGTTGATAAAAGTGCTGGATTTTTAATTGGTCAGTCACTGAGGGCAGAATTTGTACGCCTACACTTGCAGTGTCCATGTGATGTGCTCTAAATGGAGACTGTTAACAGCTCATAGGACTGGGGGACAGAGGTTCAGACACAAATTTGTCATACCTTGATCATTCAAAGCATCCACTGCACCTAATTAAACTTAATCAAATTCAGTATCTGTAAAACATTTGACCAAAGTAAATCAACCACATTAAATTCAAGATGATAAAATTTTAAATGCAAAGAAGTCATTAAATATATGAAGAAGGATGGCTCACCGTAGATTACAGAGTAAATATGACTCACTAGAAGATGAATATCCAAATATTCAAATCTTATTTTAGAACATATTTACATGAGTGTCATAGCTACATTTTATTACATGTCTGAATAGACCAGACCTCCAGCAACCAGAGTAGAAGGTAATTGTGTTTGACTTTGGATGCTGCTTTGTAAAAAAAGATATCAACCACAAGTTAGAGGGAGAGGTTGGAAGAATGGCATTGACTTAGGCAAGATGAAAGGAGAGGAAAGTTATGGCAGTTCTTTGGGAACTCAGAGCACCTTACAGTGATGAGTTGAGCCAAATTCTCAAGCATTTTCACATAGCATAGCCTGGTCAACTCCAATGCTTTACATGCCCCTGAGCCCATAACCCCAGTAGGTACTGGGTGTTCCTCTTTTCATATGCATAATACTTTCAGCCCTTGTCTCCACTGAAGCTGATCTCCCCAGAGAGCAGCACACGAATGCAGAACATTTCTGAAATGTCCATTGAGCTCAGTAAAGATGTAAAGAGCCTGAAAATAATTTGTTCTTTGATAATAGGACATATTAATGTAAAGATGTTAATTGTGACAGGGTGATATTTCTCGGTGAAACATGGTGGTTATCAGTGACTAACACTTAATTATTTGACAGTGAAATTAGGAGCATATAACATGAATTGTCGAACTTCAATTAGTTCCCTTTATCTCATGATTCCATGAAATTATTAATTTAATACAGCTTAGGCTCGCACTGCGTGCTGTTGCAGTATATGCGTATCGACGCCAAAGAGGTGCTCAGAAACCATTTCAAGATGACAGAGAGGCCCTTGTAAGAAAGAACTTGCAAGAGCAGAAGTACCTCTTAGAGTGGTAGACATCCTAGCATTCCTGAGCACTGGGATGTTTTGAGCACTACTGCCACACTGTACCAAATTCGGGCTCCTCAGCCCCACTTTCATGCTCCAGTGACTAGACCATGCCATCTGCCAGTGCTATTTTAAACAACAAAATGCAGGGAAACTTTACAGAATACAAACAAAATGGCTGAGGAAATCCTTATTTCTAAACCGCTTGAAATGCTAGCAGTGTTGGTGTTGATGCTGTAGAAATCACACTTGAGAATGCTCCTTGGAAATGGTCCTTTGTCTATGGAAAGGTTAGCAGATGAAGATTTTTCCAGGCAGGTTTAAAAACACCTGTGTCTGAAGATAGTTGTCATCAAAGATCTCATTTGCTATCACATAGTGGGGCTCTGTAGCAGCACATATGCCCTTTGGAATCATTCTCCTCTAGAAAAATCAATAGTTACTCAACAGCTGTAGAGACGTATTGAACAGAGTTGCCCTTCAATGTTGTTCAAAGACAAGGGAAAAGAAAATCTCGTGGAGTTATCGATATTGCACTGTCAAAAACACTGGAGATCTCTGAACAAAGTGAACGGCCTGTGCTGGGCTGTGAGGTGCATATAAAGCTCTTCTCTCCCTCCCTCCCTTCCCAATAGCTTAAACGTTTTTCTGGGCTAAATTTATTACAATAGTATTTTTGGTCTTCAAATTGACCGCTTGTAAAAGGTAAGATTAATTGAGCCATTTCTTAGTGAATAATTTTCCTTCCTTGTGTGCTTCACCTATGACTCAGTCAGACTATTCAAACGCATCACACTCCAGAACCTGGACTTGTAAACGACATGTATCACTGCAGGATGGTTTCACAGATACTCCAGAGATGAACTTGAAGGATGACTGTGGACCAGATGTTGTACTTTAAGTTATAGAAATAGGGAGATATGACACCCACTGAACCCAGTGATGATGGTCAGTGTCTCGATCTAAGACTTAGGAACCCAAAGTTTTTGCAACACTAGTTAGGAAATGATGCTGGGCTACATAGAAATATATATACTATTATATTTGCTATTAAATGTGGTGTGCACAGTGGATTAAATGGTGTAGTTAAGCATGGAAGTCATCAGGAAATGTTTTTGGGGAAAGTTATACTCTTTTCATATCTTTCAGAGTTCAATCAAGTCTACGATGAGCTTCAGCTGCTAAAAACATGATCTTATGGCATACACAACTAGAAAAAAATTACAAGAAAACACTACATAATAACAACAACAAAAAAAAGAAATACCAACTGCAAAACTTTGCTTTCTAACAGTCTGAAAAACTTTGCTTTCTAAGGCTGAAAACCCTAGAGTAATCAGAGAAAGTTACGCTCATTGCTAGTGTGCACAAATTTTGGCAGAGAGAATAAAACCATAATGGTTGGGGATATGTCATGCAATGTCTACTTGTAGACATTTTTCACAAGCAGAAAATTTTCTAGGGAGTGTTAACCTGCTCACCTCAGAGCATTTATGATCCTAAACACAGCATCCGCTACAGAGAAAAAAATAATCAGGGCAAGATTACTGCACTCTATACAGAGTAAGCTGACCCTTTATCAACAATCTCACTTGCTTTGATCATCGAGAGGAGTTGAAAATCCAGCTCTACATAGATGGTCAGACTTAATTGTTAGGCTCCAAAGGTGTCTTGCAGTAAAAAATAAATAGGCTCTTCTAGAGCTTGCCTCATTCTGTTGGAGCTGTTGTACTTTGCATGCAGTTATGCAAAAGATTTGAGGCAAAGATATGAAGAACCCTTTGACAAAGTAACACATTCAAGGCCGAATTCCAGCTTCAGTAAGCGTACATCTAAATGTACAAAGTGAAGGATGCCTTGAAGTTTACAGTTCAAGACATCTCAACAGGAGCTGTGTAATCCTATTTCGAGGAAACAGACCCCAAGCTTACTTTTGCAGAGTCACAAAAATGTGTCCATTCACATTTTCATGAGTATGGCGTCTTTTTTCCACCCTTTTGTTGTCTTGCAAATCCCTGGAATTTGGGGAGGGGTGTGTCATTGACTTCTCATTGTGCTGCTGGAATACTCACTCTTTTAACCTTCCTCTTCCCACAGACTTGTTGAATTATCCTCCTCCATCCCCATCAACTCCCACTGGGGAATTATCTCCAAGTGCTTAGCTTACAGCAAAGTAGTTTCAGACCCTTTTGTTTACTCTTTGCTACGGAATCAGTACAAGAAGACATGGAAGGACATCATAAACAAGATCCTCAAAAGGAGCTCCATCAACTCCTCTGCCCTCACGAGCGAGTCGCACAATCGAAATATATTGCAGCTGAATGAATGAGGAGCCTTCCTCGTGGGTATGGGATCTTCCAGAAGCATTAAATGATATACGAGAAACAACAGTAACTGGCCTATCCCTAGTAGCTATCCTCAGCTGTCAAGGCTTTGGGAAGTGGTCACAGGGGCTGTGTCCCTTCCACAGCCCTCATACACCCACGGGAGGCTGCTTTGAGCCTCCTCTCTCCAACTGCAGCGTGCTATTGGTGCGTGGCCCTGCAGACTTCACCAAGACCAATCTCCCATTGATTTCCATCCGCAGTTACACATAGAGTGAAAAGCTGCTCCTTGATGGGAGAGCTAGTGAGAGTAGCAGGAGCAGAAAGGTGAAACAGTGAGATTCTTTTTAAAAAAACCACACAGAAATGTATCTGTGCCACGTTCTTCACTGGCTGCAGATCAGGGTCTTTCTGATGGATCTGCCAGCTTTACAAAACAACCTCAACCTGATTGCTTCAGCAGGTACCCTACAGTAAAGATCTTAATAGGACAATCTGAATAGCAAAATCTTTACCTGGGCACTCATACAGTGACCAGTATAGCTTTCAATCTCATTTGGTACATATCATTTGAACAATTCTGTAGAACTGAGTGAAAAGAAACTCTCTTTTGAGTACATTACAGGCTGGATTCTGATGTGTCCTCTAAGTAACTTTCACAGAATTCTATTACTTTCCTCTTCATTAAATTTTAAAAGACTAAAAAAAAAAAAAAAAAGGTAGATAAATAGGATGGAATGGTTAGGATGCCTCCTGCCTACCCTCAACCCCCTTTTTAGGATTTCTGAATTATAAAGAGATGAAATGTGTCCCAAAGCTGCAAAAATCAAGAAATCAAGAATAATAATTAATTGGTTGTCCCTGCTATGATTTTAGTAATAATTCATAATACAACTTGCATCAAGAAAATGTGTCCTCCTCGTAATATCTTGAAATTATTTTCTGGTAAAGGCCTATTGGTCTCAGAGGCTTTACATTTGTACTTTGATAGGCAAAAGACTTGCAATCAATTCTGACCATAACTCTAATCATTTGTCTCCAGCAAAGTCCACAAGGCACAGGTAAGATAACATAAGAAATTTTTACTTAATATGTCAAGAAACTGTTCTGTTTAATGGCCATAAAGTACACGAATTGTTGGTAAGGTGAAACAGCAAATACATCACATGCCCAGATTATGAATAGTCTTGGCTTATCAGGTTCCATGCATGCAGTGGCAGTTTATATAACAGCTGTCACAGCTGGCTCTGTTAACATTTATTCTTCCTTATATTCCCACTGTAAATACAGAAATCAGAATCATATTGATGGAATTACTTTTTAGCTGTGTCCTCCAAGCAAAGGGCACTGGATGGCGTCCATAGCTCTGCAAAAGACCTTCCCTTTGCTTGGAAGATACAAGAGAAAGTAGCTAAATTAGTATATTCTGCTTCGTTTATGATAAATAACCAGTATCAATCATTTTGCAAACCTCGGCATACTCTGTTTTACAAGTTCCACCATGAATATTTGTCCTTTAACACGACAGACATTACGACAACAACAGTCACCTTGATACCTGGCAAAAAACATCTGTTGATGTTGCTCACCATCAGTTCAAAACCTGGATAGGTAACTCAGTGAACCCCAAAGTCAATATATTAGGGGTAATAACTTGGGTGCTGGCGTGCAGAGCCTTGCCTTAGCCCCACTCTCTGGCATGATATCACAGCTGCAAGGAAAATGTTAATCTAATGTTAATCGCATTGCCACCTGCATTGTAAATGCAAGATTTAATAGAATGAAGATCAGTAACAGTCACGTAAATAAAAATCTTCAGCTTAGCTATCCAGTTTAGTTATAAAACTGCAGCATAAATAAGGTAAAATACATACACAAATATAGTCATGGGATCTACGGGAACTGTGTTCAAGGTTAGCCATTAGTCATATTGCATTGTCTACCTCATCTTAACCATTGGACTTGTTAGGCTTAATGTAATTTTCTCAGGTGCAATAAGTAAAAAGACCCTGTTTGATACTTGTTTCTTACGAAATTCAAGTTGTTTGGATAACTTTGTTGTATCCTGAAAGGACATTACAAAGCTGTCAGAGAGGGTCCAGAGGAGGGCCAGGCAGAACAGGCTGCCCAGAGAGGCTGCGGATGCCCCATCCATCCCTGGAGGTGTTCAAGGCCAGGTTGAATGGGGCCCTGGGCAGCCTGGTCTGGCCTTAAATGTGGAGGTTGGTGACCCTGTATGTGGTGGGGGAGGGGATTGGAGATTCATGATCCTTGAGGTCCCTTCCAACCCTGGCCATTCTGTGATTCTGTGATTATTAGTGAGCTTAAAAAGGTAAAATGCATTGTACCAAGATGTTATGTATTTGACTTATATACATATATATATGTGTATAAGACCCTTTCTATGTAAGCAAATTAGAATGGGGTGGTAGTTGAAGTCCGTAAGTGTTGCCAGTTTATACACTGGGCTGCTGCCAAGTCAAAGGGAGGTTTGCATGTTGATAAATTCAGCCCCAGAGGGGTTTCACATTTTCAATCCATTATTCCAATAGAGAAAAATAACTTCCCAGAAAAAAAAAAAAAGAAAGAAAAACTACTGTTAGAATGACTGGTAAAAGGTGGAGAAGAATATAGAAGAATCAGACTGTGTATCACAGTCAGTCCATGGTTGATTTATGTGTCACCATGAGCAATAAATCTCTCCCCTTGTATGCATTTAAAGCTTTGTCTTTCTTTCATTGTGCCTTTCTTTCAAAATTAATCTCATAGCAGAGAATAAACATAATTTCCCCTTACTTACATCAGATCTCTGACACATTGTCATATTTCTACCATCTGAAGCAAGCGGGAGCTGCGCATGCTGGCACTTGGCAAACTGCCTCCATATACAAATAAAAATAATACCCTAACGTTTCCGGATGACATTTTATAAGATATAGAAATATGATACTGTGGCTCGTTAAGTGCTAGCTATTCAGCTGGGTTCTTATAGGCAACCAGCAAAATCTTCTGAAATGTCTGTCTAAGTGATGAATGTAGCTATGACTAACTACGTGTCCGCTGAGTATTGTATGTACTGTACAACACTTTCACTCCAGTGAGTTAGAATAACGATGGCAGACATAATGCTCAATACTTCATTATCTCTGATCGTCAGTCAGAACCGTTCTCGTGTCAAACGCCCATGAGAGGGTGCGTGCGAGGGCTGGGTTTTCCATTTGTTATTTAAATGTTTTTGGAAAAATGTTGTAAATTACAGGTACAATGTGCCCAAAATATGGAACTGCATGTGCAAAGCTTGTGCAGCTGCTTAGGCAATATGCAGTTGTCTGTTTGGTGGTATCTGCAATCCATATGCAATATCTATTTTTCACATGCATGTCCAATTAACATTTTCTTCCTATCTTGTAAGTTTGGCAGGCAGAACACTGGCAGACAATTAAAAGTATTTAACCCAGTATGTCATTTTGCAGATTCTGAGCTTTTCCCGCTACTCATCTTACAACCACGTATTATTTATATGATTTCAGAGCCATAGTTGTGAACGCCGTTTTGTATTACATTTTTAATCCAGTTTAGATGTGGAGATTCAGGTAATTCCATTTGGCAGAATGCATAAGAGAACAAAATGAGTTTATTGGGTAAATAAGCAGTACCAAATCCACCTCCAGACAGAAATCAACGTAACCACTGTTTCAGTTGACGATTCAGTTCCATTAGATAACTATATCCAGATTTTATACCTCTGACTTCTAGGTGTGTAAGGCCATGTCTTCAAAGATATTTACACATGACAAGATGTAAACAGGATTTGTTGAGTTCCTTGTGAGTGTAAGTGCTCATCTGCAGCGTTAGGCAGCCAAGAGACCCATCTTAAATGAAATCTATCCCCATTGTTACTCCTTTGTGAGTTTAAAAAAATCCTCAAAACTATGTTTTTGATGGCCCAAAGCCATACTTTCTACAGCACCAAGTTTTATTCCTGAAATGATCAAGCCTAGGCAATTTAAAATCCCAGGCAACTCCTTATGAAGCTGAGGACTTCTGCAGCAGTACCACACGCATCATATCGTTCCAGAGCAGCTGAGAGTGGAAGGGACCTCCGGAGGTCATCTTGTCCACCTCCCAAGAGACAATCCCCACCTCATGTTGCCATCTCAGTTTTGCCAGTACACGTGTTTACTCTACAATAGTGCTGTGAGATGATAGTAGTCCACATCAAAAATAAAGTCTTCCTAGAAATTAGCTGGGGCTTAGACTTGACATCAAAAACAGCTGCATCAGTGCAAATTCAGAGGTTACTATATTGGGTCAAAAATATGATCGAGAGGCTTGGGACCAGAAAGTTTGTGAATTCCCATCCTTATTCTGTTGCAGTGATGTGCATCACCCAGGCTGTAGTGGTCATTTCCCTAATGACCTGCTCCCAAACCAGGACTTTGCCAGATCTCACAGCCATCCACTTACCCCAGAGACAGCATTTCTGGTAAGGCTGAGTAGCTGCCATGGAGGAATCCCAGTCTCCACAAGCAGCACAGTCTCCATGGAAGAGTCCTGTTGGCTTGGGAAGGCTTAAATAGCTTTCAGGTGGGATGTGTGGGAAAGCCTCATCTTGATGGCCTGAAACCAGCTCCACCTGGATGAGTCTTGCTTTGGGAGACAGCCTAATTCTTAAAGCCCCAGAGGCTCGGGTCATTTGTGTGAAGAAAGCTTTTTCTGGATTTACTTGCCTAAATTCTCACAGTTCTCTCACCACCTCTTAATACTGAAGAAAGGCTCTGAGGTCCCTAAGCACCTTGTCCAGTCCATTGTGCAGTGCCCTAATCTTCTCCCTCACCTTCTTCTGATTAAATAAAATTTATGTTGAACCAGAACAGAGACTTCACACCCATGTCAGTATACATCTCAGTACACAGTAACAATCCCAGTATATTATTGCACACCACGTTCAGCACAGAAAGCTCAGTTAGGTCAGTGGATCCTATGGTTTTTGCTTCAGGAGGCCCTGGGTAATTAGCTCTAAACATAGGCTTTCTTGTTTGTAGATTCAGGGACTATATAAGCTACTCTAGCCTGAACAGGTGAGACAATAATAACATTTTAGCCTTAAATTTATTTATTTATTTATTTTTAATTTGCATGTTATGCTTTAATCCAGAGCACTAATTATATCTCAGAATCTCTGATGGATGAAGTTTCTCCATCAACCATCCTTCTCAAACAGACAGCTGTCCTTTTTAGGAGGTATAAAAGTTTACATCGAGATAAGAGCTGCTGCAGTCTTTGTACTGTCTACTTCTCACCTGTAGTCCTGATGTGTACCATGTAAATATGTATTTAGAATTGTTGGTTTTTAAGCAAATGATGCTGATCTAATGAACAAGAGGATGCTATAGTTTCCCATACAAGTCTGTATTTATAACTGAGATGGTTAGCCCTTTAGACTGTAAGTGCAATTCAGAACTTTGTGTGTTGAGAAGCAAATGTATCTGCTGTATGACAGCATGCACGTGTGATAATTATATAGTAAAATACGTTTGTTTTGCTGAAGAAGATTGTACATGGTTACAACATACCCAAAGGCCTGAGTCCACACGGCTGATTAACAGTCCTCAAAGATATGTTAGAAAAAGGATCTCCATTTGGAGCTTACTGAATGCTGGGAAACTCTTTTCTTATCACTGTAGTTATAAAATTACAGCTTTGAAACAAACGTGTTCTTAAAGATTGCAGAAATAGCAAGAAAGGGAATGGAGAACCTCCACCCTCCTGGGATTTGATCCAGCAAGATCATTCTCTTAAGGAAGAGGGAAACAAATGCTTTGAAGTGTAGTGCCAGTGCATCCGAGCAGGATGCCAGTGGGAGCACAGTGTGAGCCCTTGTGCAAACGTGGCTGTACCCCTCTCCTTGTTGGTCACCACAGATAGTCCTGTTCAGTCATTTTGCACCTATTCGATCTTGAGTCCTGGAAAACAATTAGAAAAACAACCTATTGAGTTTAAAGTGGTTTACATTGCTTCTCTGACCACAAAATCCAACCTGCATCAGCCACAGTGTGTGATGGGTCATTTATAATAGAAACCGTAGGGCTTCCCAGATAATAACGTTTGAAAAACCATTATCACAAATTGCCTTGGAAAATAGAAATAGATAACTAAAAGGTGCCTTGATTTACCTTTATTTCTACACAGAGCATTTTTGTAAACCTTGAATTTTTTCATATTCTTTTTATGTTCTTAACATCATTTTAGGATTACAAAATCTCATATGTTTGGCAATCATTAATCATTCCCCTCCGAATTCTTGCAAGAATGTGATGTATTACCAGTCTTAATAGATGCAGTTCAATCTTTTCCTTTAAATAAGATTATTAGGTGATTATTTGCTTTAAAAAAGATAAAAGGAAAAAGTTAGGGACTTTTTTTACAAACCCTTGCAATAAGGACAGTGGTGTTCCTTGGATGAGTAAGGACCATCCATAGGATAAGACTGGATCTGGCCTGTGTATTTAAACATTTTTGGTTTGTTTTGAGATATCAAAAATATATGGTTTCCTATTTCTTTGCACCTAGCCAGTCTGCAGAAAGATAGTTCTGAAATAGCATTAAGAATAAATGCTGCAGGTAGAGCATGTTTAAACTAGATTATTATAATTTATTGCATTTTATTATTATTTTTTAAGAACAATGAGTTGTAATTTATGGGGCTATTTATACGGGGGAAAAAAGGCAATATGGAAACATGGGTAGAGTGATGCACAGACCAACAGGTAACAATAAGATGAGAATTCCACGGGTTAAAATGGACCATGGAACTTTGAAGTCCCAAGTAAGCTAAACTGTTATCAATTTCCAGTGTGTATTTCAGAGATATCTATTCTGTTACATAAGGACAGAAACGTAAAATTATGTTGTATTAATACTGTTGAAAGGAATACAGGACAATGAATTTTAATCCTGACTTCAGATTTTTGCATAAGGGGCCTGTGCTGCCTATTCTGTTTACAATGGCTTGTGCTTTGTGAATACATATCAAATGTTGTAATATATTTTTATTACATGAAGTTAATGGTTAATACAAAGTAACATATAAATAAATATGTCCTATACAAGCGTGTTGTGATGTTGTTATAT